ATTAGTTATAATTAGACTGACTTTTGACTTTCTTTGTATAATATAGAATCATTGTTAGCTGGCCAGCCAACTGGTTGTTTGTTTGTCCTGATTGCATATGGGAGCAGTTTTCCAGTTCTGTCTCTTGCTTTACATAGGTTCACACTAGCTAGTCATTTCTGCTATAATCTGCTAATCTTTTTTCTAATAAATTGTTCATTTTAGACTAAAATTAAGTTAAGATCTTTTAACATGTAGGACAGTATTTTTGTATCAATTTGTTTTTTTTATACTTTATATACTACAGTAGTACTTTTTTCATTTGAACAGTGTCCATAAAAGATGGAAAAATATTTCCACAGTGATTTAGTAATGTAAAGACAATATAATATAAATAACACCAGAAAATTATAACAATGGGGTCAATACTTTTCAAAGGCATGTATAACCAAATCTCAGGTGGGATTTATATCTCTCATTATTCATTACACCCGGTACTACGCCACATGGTTCCACACCTATTGGGACCCCCAATGGGACCCAGGGTAAATCTGAGAGGTCACGAGATGCTGATGAGATCCTAAAAGGAGGGACAGAAAATCTGATACACAAAATGTGTTTTTAGTTGTTTTTTAAAGGGCAACAAGCCAAAAAGCTTTGGAACCACGGCACTAAGCCAACTAGTTTGTGTGGACTGGTCTTTGGTTTTCTATTCATCAATTAGTTTGATTGAACACAACTTCTTTAGCTCCACAGAAGTACAATATGAACTAAAATACATTCTTTAACAATCAAATTATATACAAACAATTACAACATAGTGAAACTGGGATTTGTTTGGGCATTTGGGGTTCTGAGGCCCGAGTGGCCTTGCCTACTTGGTAATCCAGCCATGGTGCTATTGAGTAAGTGTGTCTTTGTCTGAGAGACTAAGAGAGCAGAGTTTCCTTGTTCCTTTGTTTTGTCAGAGCAGATTTAGCAGCAACTCATTGACAGTCATTATTTTAAGAACACGTTTATTTCTCCCAAAGAACAAAGGCTCATCTTTTAGCAGTATTTACATTATACAGTACAACTTCAATATCTGTACAATTCCCTAGGATCCCTAGAAAGAAAGTCAAACCGCAAAGTGGTCAAACAATAAAGAGGACAAAAAATGAAAATGAAAAAAAACAGACACAAAAGATGAGTTTCCTGCAACAATCTTCACTTCCTCAAAACACCAGGCTAAGCCTTTGTCAGGAAAAGACAACCAAAATCAATTCATACAAAATTAAATAACAAAGGAGAGGTTATGAAATGGTATGGTTCAAGTTCAGACTTGTCCAAGGCCTTTGTGAATATTATCACCATTAAAGTACCAATATGTACCATTGGACAGCGGACCGTTTAATGATTGTAGACAGAGGGAGAGGACTCCTCTCCACTTGTATTCCAGCCACGCTGAACACTCCCAAAGACACTGATGATGGACGTTATGGACACACGGAGGGTTAAGTGTATAATCTCCTCGCCATCTTCAGTTGGTGTTGGAATGTTAACCGTGGCGATAAATGGTCGACCCCGTTCAGCATTACGTCGCAGTGGTTTTTGTCTTTTCACCGGCGGGGCAGTGACGACTCTCCTCGTAGAGCAAACACACACATCCATCTCCAACAAGCACACGATTACCCGCTTACAGATTCACTCGTCCGCTCACTCACAACCAACCTTAAATTATTTGTGCGATTGTGGGCACTTCACTCACACTCACACGTTCATGCTCTCTCTTTCTCTTTTCCAAGCTTCAGATGAAGATAGTACACAAGAGCCTCAGAGGTTCGTCTCATCCCATGTCGGGTCATTCATGCTCTTTAACACCCTCTTCACAACTTTTTCCAGATCCTTCCGTGCTCTCTGCTCCTCCTCCAGGGACCTCTTCATTTTCTTGTTATCCTGTGTGGAAAAACAGTCTTATCCTTCATGTCATCAGCCCAAATAATGGGACACGCGTTGATGTTTCAAACTTCGTATGTGCCAGAGAACAGAAAACGACCGGCTCACAAAAAAAGATAGCTCCAAATGCATTTCAATACTGAAAACAGTATGCCTCCTCGGCACCATTACATCTAATTTGAACCGAGTCATATATTAGATAAATCACACCATCATGATCCTTCATTGAACATCCCATTCATAAAATATTCACCTGTTTCAGCTCTTGAACCTCATCCCTCAGTGCGTACACCACGTCCACCAGGCTCCTTGAGGATGATACGAATGTACAAGTCAGCAACTCAGTGATGCCCACAACGCTGGTTAAGGGTAGGTTCATACTTTTCAAGTCTATATTAAAACAGCCCTCACAGAACAGAGGCTGTGGATTTTCACCCCCCATTTCTTCCATTTGATTCGCATTACGAATAGATCACTTCCCAACCAGTATGGACGAGAGGACAGTTACATCAACCAAATCTGTTTCAGTGCACATACGGGCATGTGAGTGTTGCTTAAAGATTCACTTGAAAAGACGAAAGCGTATCTTTTTGAAACTGAAAGGATAAATCTGGTAATATTCAATTTTTCTTGTTGATGATATTCAAAGGACCAACTACCGGGATCCTATTGATCCACAGTAGTGTCTAGCAGTCTGTCTGAGGTAAACTGTTGTATTAGCTTAAGCTACTGTAAACTATTTTATTGAGTTTCCTTTTATGGAAAAGCTCCAAGTGACTTAAGTTCTCTTTGGTAAACATATGTCATAAGAACAGAAGGATTAGATCTAGTATGCGCTGCCTTTGTCCAGGTTGAAAAGATGAATGAAGTTTGCCGTCTTTGGACTTGGTTTGGTTTGTTTTATAATCCTTTTAAGCACAGGCTCAACTCATAACCACCAACTACACTATAGTGAACTTTGTGAATATGTCTGTTCCGCACAGCATGGTTGGTTGATGCCTTTAGTCACGGTGTGAAAGCTCGGAAAAATCGACCTCCTTCCGGAAAAATATTTGGTTTCTTTTTTTAGCGTTCTGTGTGAAAGTACTCATGACAAGAACAGTTTGAAAAAAATGAATTGATTTATGGAAATAGTCTCCAAAAAAAAAATCAAAAAAAAAAAAATGCACCAATTACTCTTGTTTAAGTGATGTTTGTAAAAAAATATCCAGTGCCCATCTGATTTAGAAAATGACTGAGCCTTTTTAAAACATCAAGTTGTGCAGTTGTGACCCCTCCTTCAGTAGGAACCAATCAGGTTTGGGCATCATTGGTTTTGGTCTTTACAATATGTTAACGTGAATCAGGCAAATGTGAAGCGTTAAAGAGATATTTCTCTATGAACTTACTTTTCTTCTACAGTACTTTGTCCATTGCGACGGGGATCCTCCACCAGGATTTTCTTCTCACCGGGGATGATCACATGCAGCTCTGATTCCCTTTGCGGTCCTGTTTCAAAACAAAAGAGCACTCAACAATCGGTACTGTGCTTTGTCTCCTTGTAGTAAGATGAGTCTGTACAGAACTCCTTATTGGAACAAGTTACAGTCAGCATCAAAGAGAACCAAGCACAGACCAAAATGGGTAGTAGTAGCGTGTTAGTCGTGCACAGACGAGACGTCAGACAAGAGCCAGACAAAAGTAAAAAGGAAATGAGAGGCTGTGGAGATATCTGGCGACGAAAAACACACAAAATCTATTCATTCATTCATTCACATTTCTTTGTCAATCAGAAATGAATGATAACCCCACAATCTACACGCTAAACACAACCAGATTTGCTGTTCTCACAAACCACCAGAATGCCAGCGTCTATCAAATGACAGATTTATTCAAAACTCATAATACAGCATTTTGGGACTTGAACACTTCAGCAGAGTAGAACAAATACACCAAAGGCGCTGTTTGCAGATAAGACATGGTCACATGTGTGAACTGAATACAGCATTAGAGCACACAGAGGACACGGTTGGTCATAGACAGTTGGTGTCTTTTCACTCTGCCTGTTTGACTTCTTAAACCACAGAATACACCTGTCACAAAGTATAGCACACGATATAAGGACAGTGATATTCTTAGCTCAAACACTCACAGAAGGTAGAATGGACTTTATTTTTCTTGCTCCATGACAACTAGTATTTACAGAAAGGGAGACGATGTGCTCTTGTATGTAAAGTCCACTCTGACAGTTTTCTGAGATTGAATGAGTAGCTCACATAGAAATGTTTCTGTATGATCACGGTCTCTTGTTTCTATTTTTTTTTTTTTTCCTTAATGCTTTCAAAACACCAACGGTGAGCATTTACACTACGAATGAGCATTTTACTTTACAGTAACACTGAATACTCAAGTCTACCTTTAGGACTATATCATACACACTCTAGGTAGACGACAAAAAGTACAGATATTAACAGATTCTATCCCCCACCCCCGCTGGCCCGTTACATGATTGTGCAAAATAATTTAAAACACTTCATGTTATAATTTTCAGTGTAAACTTTGATACAGAGCAATAAAATCGTAAAATAGAAAATAAATGATTTCTTCCAGGGATCATTTTGTAAACATTGACATACAGAAAAAAAAAATTGTAAATAAATAAAAAGAAACGCCTGTAAACAAAATAATGAATACAACAGAGGAATCATTACAGAAACAGTAAATAGTACTGTAACATGGACCAATATATTCCATATCTCACCCACATTGCGTGCTGTAAGAGGAGATAGACTCTACTGTAAGTGGATGCCAACCTGTACTTTTATTACCGACACTGGAAAAATACTTCTTCATAAAAATAGTCATTAAAACCTCACAAGCCGGACAACACTAAGGCATGTCTGGCTCATGAGGCCGTAGCATAGATGCAAGTTGTGTTGTGACACAAGGGATGTTTGTTGTCGCATTAAGCTAACCTGGTCAAATTGTCAGAGTCTAGTAACTGCTACAACAGCTCAACATTTTGGGAAATAGGCTTATTTGCTTCGAGTTTGATGAGAAGATTGATAACACACTCATGTATGCAAATATAAATATGAAGCTAGAGCTAGCAGTTGATTTGGTTAGCTTAGCTTAGCGTAAAGACTGGAAGCAGAGGAGTCTAGCAAATTTTAATTAATTAGTTGTTCTTGTGGTACATAGGATTAAAACATGAAATTAGATTTTACTCATTTACTTCATTTCCATGACTGAGACAAAAACATAAATATCAATCTTGAGTTTGTTGTGCTTGGCATTAGGACTGAATGTCCAAACACACGTACAAGCACCTCTAAAGCTCACTGATCAACAGGTTACAGGCTTTGTTTGTGTATATTTAAATTGATAGACTGTACATATATTCACTATTATACGCACTGTATACTCATTCCCCACTTTTATTTATTTCATAATTATCTATTTTTTGTTCTTATTTATCTCGGCGGGTTCTTGACTCCTACTCTTACATGTACAGGGATAACAAAGGTTTATCTTGTATAGTGAGCGCTAGAGGTGCTGATAGCTGGACACATCCAGGATAGCCGTTTCCCGTTTCCACTCTAAATGCTGAGCTATGTTAATTTGCTCCTGGCTCCAGTTTTGTTTTAAATGGACAGATCTGATACCGATCTTCTCAACTACCTCTCAGAAAGAAAGCAGATAAGCGTATTTAAATAAACTGTTCCTTTAACTAGCAGGAGACATTAAACAAAAAGGCATTTGATTTGTATTACAGGACTGTATCTGAGTTAACAGTTTACACAGTAGTTTAGTTTTGTCAGGCTGGTATGCTATGCTTGGTTTAAATTAATCTTTTTATTTTGTCAACACACTAACTTGAGGTTTCAAACTTAACATAAATGCAACCCTGTAGAACCACTGACAGACAGCAACATTACTGGATGGAAGATCAGGCTTTTAAGGATGATACTTGGGGGACTACACAATACAGTCAAATCTCAAAATGAATGACTTAAAGGGCCAGTTTGCCAAAAACCTAAAACAAACCACTTTCTCATTCTGTGACAGAGAAAGTAGTCCAGGTTACTGACTAAAATATCTGCATCCACACCATTACAAGGAATTTAGTTTGTGGCGCTCACAGGATAGAAAAAATAACTTTCCAAAAAGGGCGTGTTGGTAAAGCTGTTAACAGTTTTGGTAGTGACAATTTCCTCAGTAGGAACTCGTTTGAATTAATCTGTTGACAGTGAGACACTGATTCTGGAAAGACACAATATGTTGTAAATATCATTTTTCAAAGCTGGGAGCACCACAAACAAAATGTTATTCACTTCGAATGTATCAGAGTTGAAGAAATCTGGCCAAATAAAACTATATGAATGGCTGGATACAACTATAGATAAGTGTTTTTTTTTCTCTGATGAACTGACCCTTTAAATTCACCATCTTAGTCCACTAGCTATTATCCTTTCACAACGTATTACATTTTTGCAAAGCAATTATAGTATTTAGTAGCTTTTGGTCGTGTGGTACGTTAAATTTAAACCTGCTTATTAACATGTATAAAGATAAAAAAATTATGAAAACAGCAATGTTATTAAGAATTTGGATATTTCATTTGCATGCCACTATATTATCAGGCAGCAGGGGTATGTGTGCCTGAACCTGTGCGGGTGTGTGTGTATGGCATCTGTGCTATGTTTACATACTCTCGAAACACATACCGGAGAGAAGTAGTACATGGTAAATAGAATACACTCGTCGTTCCTGAATTACATCTGAATATCAGACAGGAAAAGCTCAGTCCCCATGTCTCCCTCCATTAGTTATCCCTCCCCTATATTCCACTCCAGCACCCCTCCGGTCCCTGCTGAGAGTCCGCCACATTTATGGTTAAGCAAGGGGAGTGGTCACATTCAAGATAAATTAACAGGAATTACCAAACACTTACTGCATGACAACTACACAAAGAGAGGAGGCACATAAAAGGGAAAAGTGGCAAAGGCAACAGGGAGATGCTTAAAACATCTTAAAACAAACAATCTAGAAATAAATAAAGCAAATAAGTTAACAAAAAAAAAAAAACTTAACAAATATATAATAGAAAATAAATAGATAAATAAAAAAAAATCAAGTTTCTTTTCATAAATTGACGGTACAAGAGGTAAGCGCGCTGTACGTTACATTACGGTACAGCGTGGCGGTACTGTACGTTCTTTAGTTCTGGTGAGAGATGCAGCTCTTACGCGGCACCGAACCCATCCTGTAACTGTGGGTGGTCCAGATGGAGTCATAGTCAGAGTCCTCCGAAAGGTCAGAGGACAACTCTGGCCTCGACACGCTGCTACGGCGGCCCGGCGTGTCCATACAGGACCGGTCCACGTCGGCCAGCACGTGGTTGTGCATCAGGTCAGTGCCTTGCCAGGCTGGTCAGAGCGGGGCGAAGATTTGGCGGTGATGGTGCGAATGTAGAGGGAGGAAATGGAAGAGGAAAAAAAAAAAAAAGAATGGTGGTGCAGAAGAAGGGGGTAGCATATATAGCACGCAACAAATGATCGATCATAAAAAAAAAAAAAAAAAAAAAAAATGAGAGATGCAGGATGGGGAAAAAAAAACAGATTTATGAGAAAAAGAAGGAACTCCAGGTAAAACGGATCAATGTCAAAAAGTGAGGAGTGGAGGAGAGACAGACAGAAGGAGAAGATACTGTTAGAAAGATCAGTTCAGAATACCAGGGTTAAAGAAAGGCATTGAGTAAAAGAATACAGGTAGAGCAGTAACAAAGACTGTACGCGCCAGTATGAACCGTTCTTCTTTCGTGCATGCACATACTCTACAGAAGTAAGATGTGGTGTTTTCTTACTGGAGTTAAGGGTCTGCCTGGTTTTAGCGCTGGTGCAGTATGCCTCAATAACTTTTAGGATCTGGGCATCTTCTTCTAGAGCAGCTGTACCTGAGAAAAGAGAAGGTGAAGGGGAGATAATCAATTCACATTCTCATGCCCCTCAATTCCCTGGTTTCCCTCCTCCTGTCAGCACAAATAACAGCGTCTGCAAACATTTAAAGAATAGTTTGACATTTTAGGAAGTACGTTATATCTCATTTGTTACACAAACAGAAATGTGAAAGCAACAATATCTGTTTTTTTCTTGAAGTTGTAGGAGCATGTTAGCCGTTTCCCCCCTGCTAAGCTAAGATAAGCTAAACTAACAGTCTCTGGGCTGTATCTCCATGTTTAACGGACATATGCACATCAGTGTTGTTTGACTTTTTTGTATTTCATTGAAAAATACATTTGGTGCATTTGTTGAGTTCAACACAAACTCTGGACATAAACAGGAAAGACTTTAAACATACTCTTCCTCAAGGCAAACTCCTCCTCAGACTGTTTCCTCTCAGGCTTGCGTTTGGGAAGGAGTTTCTTCACACTCTTAGGACTTTTACTAAGATCCTGAAAAAAATACAGAAGTGAGACAATTGCATGACAATTAACATAAGGACATATAAAGAAGTGCTAGCTACATAACAACATGGCCCCTTCACCTCCTTGTAGCAGAGGGCTGCAGAGGGTCGTAGAGGGGGTGCAGGGCGCAGGCAGCTCAGGCTCCAGGGTTTGGGGGTGTTGGGTGGTTCCAGTGGGCCCCACATCATGGTGCTGTGAGACGTTCCATGGGAGGAGGGGTGAGGCAGGGTGTGGTAGGTGGGAGCCACTGTCATGCCCCTCCCCTCAGAATGCCGGGACGGGGTGAGAGGGTGAGATGGGAGCTGAGGAAGGAAACAAAAAGGGCTTGTTTAATAACATCACAAAAAAAAACTTCTGCTCCTCTACTTAACATTTTCTCTTGAATGATTAATTAACACCCAGTAGATGCATCACCATATTTTATTGTGTACTTTTCAGAGAGAAACTGAGTCACGGTGGTAGAAGACTTGGCGGGGGTGCATCTCCAGTAAGTTATAGCCAACTGTTTCTCAAAACCGTCATCAAAATATTGCAAATATTCATTGGTCTGTTTCAGAAACGCAGCGCTTAGAAGCCAAGAAATCTTCCAACAATTAGTTTGTTGTTCACAACATATTTGAATACCTCATTCACTCAAGCAAACTGCATGTGCTTTGGCACATGTGCACAAAAGAGTAAGCACGATTGTCGGCAATTTGCACGGTAACCATTTCCACGTGTCTCGCTGATGAGTTGATTTTCACTAAAATTGTCTTGCTCTTCAAAACATTCTTTCATTGTTTGAGCCATCACATGCAATTTCTTGTCACCGGGTTGTTTTTTTCTGTTCACTGACTTTACATGAAAGATCAAAGGTGAATTTTATGTTTACAGTACATGCAACACATTGCTGCACATTTACTGTATTCATACAAATGCGCATATGCTTGTTCCGTGTACTACAGTATTGTACTGTACTGACATTTCCCACTAAACATTCTGCTGAAATGGTAATCTAAAACGCTCAGTGCGATACACATTCGCCTTCAACTAGTAAAGCTGAATGTTAATACTGTTTAAAAAAAAAAAACGAGCCAAATCGATTAAGAAAAACTGAATCTAAAAATCATACAAGAACATTACAGTGTCCTTAACTGAAGTACCGCAGATAGATTTTAAATGATTTTTCAGACAGTTACCTTGTGCCATAATGCAGCCACCTACATGCAAATGGCCTATTGTAGATAACACGATCATTATTCTTGATTGTTCATACAAGGATAACTCTGAATGTTGATTGCTACGTATTCATATTCAATTCATTAAATGCAATTGTGCAAGCCACTTCACACAGGGCTGTACAGTCATTTTAGATGATTGCTGGCCATTATGAGAGCACAGGCGGTGATGGCTGATAAAAAAACATCTGTGAGAAATCAACATATATAATCACAGTGTTTACACCACATTGGTTCATGAAAGGCAACAGAAAGAAAACCATCTGTATGCGAGTGTGTATTATTTGGCTTCTGACCGTGTGGCAGGGAACAGTGAGTGGTTTGTGGCTGGATCCTGTGGATGCAGTGTGTTTGATCTGTCTGGTCAGGTGTTCCACCCAGTCCTGCAGGTCCTGTTGGTTGGTGCACACAACCTGGAGACGGTCAAACATTGTACCTGCAGGGACGGAGACAATCACTATGAAGGTGTTATGCGTAAAGCAATTACACCCTTGCTCATCTCATGTCGTCTTACCGTTGAGCTCAAAGGCGTTTCTATGTGCTTCACAGTCTTCTAGTTTGGTCACCGTCATGCTGGCCAGGGGCAATTTTCCCTGCAGAGGGAAATCATCACATTAGAATAAGATGTAACAGAGAAATTACCTTTCATCCACTTCATCAAGGTTCAAAACTAGATGGAGAGATACATACGTTATCATCCCCTAGAGGAGATTCAGGAGAGACTGATCCGACAAAACATTTCCTACTGACCTGGAATATGAAGCCACTCATTCTGGGGCTCGCAGACAACATGAGGAGGACGTGAGGGAAGAGCATGAGGTAACGCTCACTCTTCTCCTGACAAATAAAAATGAGATGGAAATAGGTGTTGATTCAAGAAGGCCAGTTCAGAAGAAAGACTCACGGCGAGATGAAACCATTTCAGACTGTCTACAGTTTGACAACCGACCACTCATTACTACGAAACTTGTTTTCTACAAAGTGCATCTTTAATGTGACATTGACAACCACAGCAGAACCCAGGCCGTCGGTGCATTACACATTTCACTTACAAACGTGCGTATAGTTTAATACCCACATTCGTTTCCCCCACATCTTCCCAAGAGGCTCTCAAGCTCGTTTAATCGCCTCTTAAACGCTCTTTGTTTTTGTTTTCTACGCACCAGAGTAAGTTAGCTGCAACAGTAACAGGAACAAAGCACAGATAGATGACGGCAAGTTTAAGGTCATTTACGCAGAAGTCTATAAAGTTATACAACTATTATTCAGATTTCTTGACAAATCATACATGTGTAGGGAGTAGTAGCAAAGAAACAATGTTGATGTAAAATTGTTACGCATTACAATTGTATTTTTGTAGGGTTGCCATTGATTATTGTGAATCTTTGACATGAACTAGTCCACCTTTAACAATTCATGCAGTAACTGAAAAAGCTCTCATGTTTAGCAAATTACATTACATTGTTTGATTACAAGATACATCTTTGAGTTTAGAGGAAGTACTATTGAATCACAATGAAGAAAAATATCTGGAGCTGTCACTTTTGATGAATCTTTTAAAGAGAGGTGCTCTCCAGTCCACAGTCTTGTGGAGTAATTTAGAACATGTTCTCTAAATCATTCAATTTCATTTCATACGTTTGGCAGATGCTTTTGTCCAAAGCTACTTACGATTAGTGCATTCAAACTGGAAAGCCGCTTTTTATCGCCATTGATGTTTCTGTCCACTTAAGATGCCACAATTAAAAGATTACTTTTGCTCTTCTCAGTCACAGAGAACTCGAACTGAGAGTTAATTTATGACAAATAAATCATCACTGTGAGAGTTTAATGAAAGCTGAGGGATGGTGATGATCCAGAAGTTCTTGTCAAGTAATAAGCATGATTTATTTATGATTTCTGGGTTGATCTCCGCCATTTATGTTGTTGATTTTGCTTTGTGAGCTTACTAAAGCAGTGGTTAACTGTATATGAAGCGTTTATAGTGATTCATTCACAGTCTAAGTCAGCAGTGTGCATCCTATCAACATAGCAGAGTAACAGGTTGGGCAGAAGTTAGTGTGGACGCTATCTCTAGATGGTGTTGGTACCTCGGAGCCAGGACTCTGGACTAAGACCTGGCTCATGTAGAGCACAGAGCCGAGGGTCTTGATGTCATCCCCCTCCCACAGCCGGATGGACTCCGTGAGAATCTGCAGCTCGAGCTCCTTACGCTTCCGCACCTCCTGGCACTGAGCCTGACACAACGGAAACAAACAGATGCTTAAAGACCTGGCTGTTAATTCATTTATCGAGTCTGGTTTCAAGTCTGGTTACATGCTACTTCTGACAGGGGAGGAAGTGAGATCATCTTACAGACAGATTTTTGAAAGACGCCATGCACTTCTGAATGTCTGGCCGGTCAGGATGACTCTCCTGAAGAAAAATAAATAAAAAAGAAACACGTTGGTTGTTAACCACGCATCATAACACAAGTAGACAGATGTTTAGATACACACCTCCATGTGCCGCTCAAGCTCTTTGAGTAAGTTGGGGTATTTGGCGAGTCTCATAAAGGGTTTACTGAGGCCTGTGGTCAGGGTGAGAATCCCAGGACTGACGGCACCTCGCCCCTCCATGAACTCCCCCAACACTTCACTGCAAGGGGACGGAAAGACAGAGACAGGGAGACAAAATAAATGATTCATTTAATCTACCGTGGAACCTTTATGACCTACAATGACGTTTCGGTCAACATTACAAACCTTAACTTCCCTGTTGAGAGATGGGCCTCTGTTAGTTAACTGTTACTGGCTAGAAAACTCATTCACAAAGACACTGAACCTCAGACCTCTTATTAAAGCTGACGCACGTTGCTAACCGGCATTCAACTTGTTACAACGCACTCACTTGCTGCCTTTGTCTTTGAAATGTGACGAAATTAACTTTGACCTACGTGAACAAAGTTATAAAGGCAGCTGGATAGGAGTCAAATTATGTTTTTCAAACATGTGGCAAAAACTACAACAGTATGTGTGAAAAACAGGAAAACTGTTCTGGCAAAGGATGAATAACCGAATCACCTTTACAGCACCACAAATGACATCCTATATAATGATCATAAATTGTCATAAAGCTGTGATTATAAGGCCTCAAAAGGCAGTATATTGTGATTCACAACAATAGTTCCTAAATACTTACATTAGAATGATAGACAATAATAATAACAATTTTAAATAAACATACACTGTCGAGGCTGAGAGTTCACATTACTCAGATACTCAGGTCAACTTCTACCAGTTGAGTTATAAAGTAGATAAAAGTATTTAATCAGGTCCAAACAAAGCCCCGTTCTATTGCAGCAGGTCTCAAGAGATCAGTGCAAGAGGAAAGTGTGTTTTTTTAAGTGATGCATATAAACTGGAAAAGTGCAGTTAATAAAAGGTTCTGCTGCTCTTTTTCAATGCAGCTACCTGTTCACTGGTGGAGCATCATGCTGTTATCTTTCTCTATTTGTGAGTGTTGTGGTCAACTACATGTTAGATCAGGTGTGATAATCCTCTGGCCTTTTTTAAACAGTTTCTAAACGATCCTTGGGTTACTTTTGGTTTGGGACTCTTTTTGTAAAAATCTATTCATGCATGTCAGGTAGGTTTTGCACGTGTATGTTTCAAGGCGGGTTAAAAATGTGGACCTCTAAAGTGTTTATTTAATTATCTCTCCTTCAGCTATATTTAATTGTGTTAAGCACTATTTGTCCGGAGTGACAAGCGAGGGAAGCTGCCACAACGAGCGAACAGCAGATAGCTACAACTGTAAAACTAAGATAAACTTCAGCAATACAACCAGACCCTTTTTCCTTTTCTAATACAAGCCGCTATAACAGCTGTTTCCCTGTGTTATGCAACACAAAGCCCCTCTTCTTCTCCCTTGTGAACGGTTGCATGAAAACAGGTTGCAAACACCGTAAAATAAAACTATATGTAGTTGATGTGCAGACGTACCTGTGCTGGGTGAGCAAACTAACTGCAGACGGGTGGTTGGAGCAGTAACCGACATACAGAGCCTTCATCTGTGGCATGAGGTTGAGGAAGAAGCCTCCCACCCTTTGCTGGCTCTCTGGAAGCCTGCAGACAAAAAGAAAGGTCACACAAGAGCTTCTTTAAAAAACTCTCATACACAGACAAGAAAACATAGCAGAAGTATATGGAATGTGTATGTGTGCCACAATATATGACAAATCCCTTAGTCTATGGTTTCATCCAACATCCCTGTAGTACATCCGGCCCAACACTAGATGTCCCTCTGCTTATTATGCAACAATGAGGCTGCTGCTGCTGCAGTGAGGCTGAATGTGTGTGTGTGTGTGTGTGTGGGGGGGGGGGGGGGGAACGGACTAACTTGGTGCACTCCTCCAGCGATTGGACGAGCATCTGCTGGAAGGTGCTGATCTCCTCAAGATTTCCCAGAATCAGAGCCACATCTAAGCTGCTCAGTCTGCAGGAAAAACATATTCGGTGACATGCAATAGAAAGTCAGGTACCCACTCAGATTTGCTGTTAGGGAAGCGTATAGAATCTAATTGATCCAGGGCTCCTGTTGTACAAGAATCATGAATAACCTGGTTTCAGCAAGCTTTATGTGTAAATGAGTCATACTTGTCAATGCTCTGAAGAGGGCGAAGGTAGTTTGTCAGGAGGCTCTGAAGGTCCTTGGAATATTCTGTCTCCGTTTCTAAAATGTTCTGCAACACCTACAATAGAAACAGAAAAAAACAGCTTCAATGTAGAAAGTGTCCCGATCTAAAGAACTGGAAGAGGTCTTGGAAAATCAGCTCTGTTCATTATAGCAGCCATTTCTTCAGGAATTACAGTTTCATTGTAGTGTATTTCATGGGTGTGTGTGTCATAATTGTTTTTGTTATAAATCCATACAAAACATTATAACATGTATATGTTAGAATGTAAATGTGTCTTTGGTCCAATTCACTTTGCTTATTATCCAACTGTGATGACAGTTTTACAAACCACAGCTGCTCTCAGCAGCAGTAACATTTTCAAGGGTAGTCACAGAGTATTTTAGACATTTAGAGGAGAGAAAGTATGTCAATGAGTTGTTCAGAGAGCTGTTGAAGAGGCCAGCTAGATTCTATCCTGGTGCTCCATGTTATTACCTTCAGGCAAGAGAATTTATCAATACAAAAAGGGAAAGATGCAGATTTAAGCACAGACTAACAAAGAGGCACTAAAAAGTACTCAAAACGGAGACAGAATCCTTTCATTTCAACATGTTTGTGGAGAAAGAGAAAAAAAGAAAGCTGAAAAAAAGGGAACATAATCTGATTTTAAATAACTGTTGAGTTGCGTCCTTACCAAGTTATAGTACGTCTTGCTGATCGCAGAGGTGTCAAAGCCTTTAGGGGGGCTCTTAAGAGTGCCAGACTTGGGGGACACTTGTTTGTCTGCAGCCAGAGACAAAAGAAATGAATTAGGGCACATACGTCTTATCTAGCACTTTATCTGGTGAGACATAAAAGCAAACATTTTCAATGAAAACCAAGCCATAATTATTTTATGCATGAAATATTAAAAGTCGTATAAAAGTGGAACAATTGGCAGTATTTTGGCCTATGGCTATGAATAATATCATAAATGTATCATGACGTTTAATTCCCAAATTATGTGAGGATGAGTGCTGATATGGTATCAAAATCTGAACTATTATCCTGAAACGAAGGCACACAATTGGTGATTTTAGAGATGAATCGCACCGTTGGAACATTCCAGTGTTTGTTCCAACTGAGGCTACTCCTCCCAAAAAGTACAAATATAATTGCCTGCATAAAGATATTTACGGCTATTGGCAATAAATAACAAAGTCCCTGTAAGAAAAGTGTATTGTGGTTTTATTGCACAACTAAAGCAGATATTGTCTTTACACTGCTTGATAGCCACAGTAACTCCACATCAGGCATGCACCGTATGCTTATGTTTACTGTATGTGTATTAGGATTTTCACATACAATAATATCAATTTAGAAAAAAAAAATAACAGCTCAACAACACAGTGCTTCAGCAGCGCTGTTTTGTCCTCTTTTCCCACTTAATCTCAGCATTTCATTTATCCCATATGCAAGAAGCGCTCTAAATGTCTGAATCTCTTGGTTCACTCATCTTATCCGTATTCTTATTGTTTTTCTTCACATGAACTGTTTAATGTATTCTATACCGTTTCTTCTTACACTCACCAAATATGGTCATTAAACTGTTGAAGCGAATAAATAAATGTCATTCTCACAGAGGATCAGATCTTAAGCTGCAGGCCTGAGAAGCAGCAGATGTGGGGCTGCATTACTGTTGTAAGGCCAGATGGAATGACAATGACAACTGTGATGTGTTATAGTGGTTGTAAAAAACGTCTGTTAAAATGATTTCATCTTTCAAGCTGCTCTGTGATCATTCACAGACACATGCAGGGGAGGAAGACTATTTAAATTGATGTAGTTTGAAGTGGAGATTGAAACAAATAGAATATAATGTGATGAATCACTACAGGGCTGTATTGAGGTTGAAGTCTCTTACAGAGGTGGTTGAGGTACCTACCAGAGCCCTTGAGTTCGCGGACATAGTTGGTAGGAAACCACCCGGTCCTGCCATTGAACGTCCCCTCCCACCAGCCGCCCTCCTCCTGGCGAATCACGCCGATGAGGTCACCCTTGTCGAAGGTGAGCTCATCCTCGTTGTTCTGCTGGAAGTTGAAGCGGGCCCTCACCAGCAGATGCTGTCCACTGTTTTCTGACATGTCCTGGCGAACGTGGGAGGGATGTCACCAAGGAGGGAAGAAAACATGAGCAGAAACAGACAGGAGGTGAAATACTATATCAAGAGATGTGAAGCTTGGATTATTATATTGTAACTGATCAAAATCAAGCTATATTTGCTAGTAGATTTGACCATTTATAACTCGATTGATTGTTGGCTTGACTGAGTTGTGACAGACAGCAGGTGGGACGAACAAATAGAATAAACAACTACTATAGATGTGGATTTGATTTTGAGGGAACACGCTGGTTTAAGGCACCTCGTTCCATTGAAGGAACTCTTAGTTGATTTTTCAATCTCATTTCCCTTTATTTGTCGTAGGGCTGCTTAAGTTGCTGCATCAGTGTCTCTACAAAGCTTTCATGAAAAGGCGTGCCTTATGTGGGCATCCTGATGGCCTTAGTGGTTATGAAACATAATTTTGGCTGGGTCCTCTGTTAAAATCCTGTCCCTCTCTTTAGCCCCGTCATTTCTGTGTTTATCTACACAGTCAGAAAGAAAAGTCTCAAGTCGTTAACTAAGGTGCCACTTCAACAAAAGTTTGCATCATTCTGTGCTAATTTAATTACACAAAATGATATTAAAATTGTACAAACTACCCTGCAGCACTGTGTGGACATGTGAAGACTTTGTTTTTTGTTTGTCCATGACTCCAACATTAGTCTTGTTGCACCTGTTAGAACGAGACAACTTACTCCTTTTATCATTGAACACGTGTTGAATTTCTCCTGACAGAAACAACTGAAAACACCTGCGTGGTTCTGACCTTTAACTATCTATTTGTGTGCTATAACAATTAGACAACATCACATACGTGAACTGAAATATCAAGACACAGTCTCATCAACGTCTGTACATTTAAAGCTTCACTAAGGCAGTATCCGCTGCATGGCCGTTGCTTTGTATTTGACAGGTGTTAATTGTTATCGTGTGATGTTTTTTTTTTTTTCAGCGACTCGGGTCTACTGTATCCCTAAACTGTGCTGTTAGTGAGTGTTGACCTTACCAGACTGCGAAACTGGTTCTGCAGCAGCTTGGAGGACCGGCCCAGCGAAGCCTGAGAGGACAGCGACTCGAACGACTTGATGCGATGGGCTGAAGAGTGTCGGGCGCACACCGAGTCACTGCCCACGCCGATATCTGGACAGAGAGGGGGAACATAAATACACCAGACCTGGTATCTGCAGTCGGCTCCCACACACTCATGACTGCTCGCCTGTCTTTCATAAAAACAACCACACGCATCATGTAACTCGCACACATTGCACCTTGTTTTTGACTCACCTGCAGTCACTTTATTGAGAGAAACCAGACTGCTCAGCACCTTCGAGAAGTTCAGTCCAAGCAGCAGGTCACTGGCCTCAAACGGCTGTGGGTGAGAGAGGGAGAGAGGGAGAGCAGAAGAACATGAGTCAGAGAGTAACAGCATTTCCCTTTTAATCGCCAATTGCAGCACAGTAGCAGCGTGTCGTCACTGGGCCACACTGCCAGCACTGAGCAGTCAATCGATAACTCTTCTTACCCTTGACAGATGTAGCTCAGTTTATATATAGCTCAGATATACTGTAGATCTGCAGCAGCTACAATCACACACTGTTTACAGCGTTCTACCATACTGGCTGAGTTATGTGCATTACAAAAGACACTGACGGAAGCAGAGTTCCCTTCATACAGGAGCATCAAAAGATAAGGTCTGCTATATTCTGTATTTTTTCTTATTACCAACAAATCCCATGGAAATACCATAACCACCAATGAATCTATACTACTGACAAGTCTTTCCTGTCTGTCAAAGGCTGATATAGCGGGCTAATTTACATATCGTCATCCAATAACAATATGGCCAGAATCAAGTGAACGAGAACTCCCATCAAAACTAAGTGCAATGTACAATGAGTGACATGTGTCATTACAATGAACACGGGCACTGCAGTCCATCTTAAATCAATCCCACATACACCATCCTGGTGTCTGAAATGCTCACTGGTGCACTAAATGTGCATTAATCCGCAGCTCAGAATATTTCCCTACAAATGCTCCAGTTTGAGAGGGGTCAAAATGTGTCCCCATTAACACATCTGCGTTATCGTGTGGAGCCCCTGTGTTAAATGTCCTTTTTACGTGTTGCGGCAGGTTTTTTTTTCTCATTTGCGTAGCTAAGCTAAGGTATGAGAACTGTCAATCTTAATACGGTGGTGTATTGTTACAACCCTAAATAGTTACTGACTTCAACATACATTTCACAGATGTTAGACGGCTGCTTGTGCCTAAATAACATTTCCCGTCTGTTGTTAAATGAGAAAAGGGCTCTGTAGAAAGACATGATTATATTTCTCAAAGTTAAAAGCCCTTCTGGTATCGGCACAGAAACTCAAGCACTGCATCGGCTCGATTATCAAGACAACTCTAAATGATACCCAGCTCTATGTTCAAGTAAGGTTTTCTAAAAAGAAATGACAAAACAATCCCTGCGTGCTTGCTTGCTTTCAGGAACTTCCACAATATTAAGCGCCAAGTCGGATACATTGGAGCTTTCACTAAAGTCTAAGAGGTTGTGAACGCAATTTACGAGTTAGAGACTTGCAATGACGATAACATAACAGGGCGTGGGTGTCACAGACAGGGCAGGGAAGTCAGAAAGTATTGAGATACAGACCGATCCATTGATGGCTTTTGTTTCTTTAATGGGATTTGTTGACAAAAATGTAGACTGCCTTGCCTTCTCCTTTAATTGCAGTAGAAGTGTAAGGTCTGTATTACTGTCAGTGTGACCCTCACTAGCCTCTCGGTCACTATGAATGGCAGGGATTGTATCTCTGTTGATGACTGTAGCCGTCATCTCTGTTACTGTGTAAGAGATTCATGTGATTGGTTGCTCTCGCTTCAGTTATACTGAGGGTGAGTGACTGTGAGATACGAGTCGCTTTCATCTTCCGCTCCGATTGCAGATATGTCCGAAGGGAATATATGAATGTGTGTTTGCAGGAGTGCGTGAGTGCGTGTGTGTGTGTGTGTGCGCGTGCGCACAAACTACTGGAAGACTTGCTGTCCTTGAGGAGCATTCATGTGAAAGCATCCTCTTCCTCACACATCAATACTTCCACTGGGACCGAAATTGTGACATTCAGTATTTGTACTTAACTTTTCTTCAAGTCATTCTAACAGATCCTCAATTAGAAGAAGAAGAAGGGAAAAAAAAAGTTACCAGTCTACAGAAACACGACGAAGGATGTAAATCATACATTTATGTACGACGGGCTCGGACATGTCCTCTGGGCCTCGGCATCACAGTCAGGTAATGATCCCTCAGAGCGGGCGGAGACAATAATAGTGCAACACCCCTCTGTGACTCAGCAAGCTGCAACAACATGCTGAACTGCTCCCATGATTGTGTCATGGCAGTGTTTACCTGCAACCCACTACTCCATGTACGCTACGGTTAACAGGATATGGTTGCACATCAGACTTCTTAGTAAGAGACTACTTAAATACATAGAGTATTTAGACTGATAGTGGATGGACACAAAGCGATGGGGTTAAAGTGTTGACTTTTAACCGTAACTGAGGGTGTTCACATCCATATAGAGTTGACAGAATTGAAACCTTTGGCCCAATTTTAGGACAATGATCCTAAACATGCAGCCAAGCAGCTGAAAAGCCAAACAGTGGGATATTCTTCACCGGCCAAGTAAGTCAGCAGACCCCAATTCAACTGATCATGTGTTTCAGTTCCTGATGACAAAAACCACATCGACAAGCAAGAAATGAACATTATGGCCCAACTGATACTGCCCTTTTAAGGCCAATCTTGGTATTTGAGAATGTATTACATCTGATTGGACGCATCGACCGGGCCAGTTTATTGGTATTGTTTATCTGGTGCAGACGGCTGCAGTACAGCACAGGCCTGCTGCTGATGTCTACGGGTCGCAGAGCCACTGACTGCAGAAGATTGCCAAATAAATATAAATGTGCCGGTATATTCACACCAAAATAAATCAAAGTTCCAGCGCACACAAGGACAGACACTGCATTATTGACAGATTACATTAAAAACAAAAAAGACGCGTTTCACATGTCGCTTCGTCAGACTCTTTTTAGTGACGCGCCAACTGGAGCTCAGTTGATTGATCAGTGACAGTTCTGATACATTTTTAACAGTTAAATCAATACAAAATATATATATCATGCCTTCAACAGCACTATACGTCTACTACGATATCTATACAACACAACAGCCTTAGCTGGTCTATATTTTGGATGGCAATGGATTCAGTCTCCCATTGGTTCAGACAGATGGATCCGTGATTATTCTCAGTGTGGACACGGGGTAAGGTTACTATTCCAGAGGGAGCAGTGGGGTCATGGGAATTCTAATGATCACTTCCTGTGGTCAAAGACATTAGGGGTTAAGGGTCAGTAACAGCAGCTGCCTGACTGTGAGACGCGGTCTTGAGTGTCTAATCTGCATGAGGTATCCAAATTAGATCTAAAGGCGATCAATCCAAGTTGAAATATCCAGACGAGACGGGCCATAGCACTGTTGACTGTTCAGCCCAACACCCAGCTGAACTCTATTAAAAAGAGGCAGGTCAGGACTGCAAAAAGCACAGCGTCTATCTGACAGGCTTCCTCGTGTTAGGGGCCACTGCTCTAATCTGCAGCCGCTGCTACCTGGGGTCAGAGCCAGCAGTGCTTTGGGCTCTTGGAGAAGGTCCATCTTTGCTCCGCAGTTGGTGAACGGGAGGACCGCCATGTCCCGAAAATACTGTAATCCTGCTGTGTCCAGTTCACAAAAAAAAGAATAATAAAGTGGCATGTATTTGAACACGCTCTCTTGTACGCAAGGACCTAACGTAGTGCAACACAGTATCTCCACCAGTGAAGGCACAAGTCAGCACGACATAAAAGAGTGTTTATGATGGGAATTTGACTATTTGTTACCAATAAAAACTGCAGATTATTGCCCAACGCTGGCCGTACCTGTCCCTGTGGTGAGCTAAAACAAACAGAGGCCCTTTTTCCAAAGAAGGATGCCCTTTGCTTCCTGGACATTTTCATCTGTCTGTAAACTAAAGTGTTACTACAGGGCATGTCTCACACACTTTATATGACAGCGCTCATGTCTCACCCAATCTCAGCCTCGGTGGGCTGCAACACTTGGTAGGCAGAGGCGACACTGAGGAACACTGAGCTGCATTGTCAAACAAGGATGGTTCAATGACCCCTTCTATGGACTGGCCAACACACACACACACACACACACACACACACACACACACACACACACAGCCTTAAACAGCTCGCTGTCCTCCATTTGCCACACACCAGCCATAACTACATTATACTCAAAATACTTCCATCCGCTGGAAGCTCTGCTCTGCAAGGGTGAGGCACTTGATCCGAGGACATGTCTAAACTGCACACCTTCATAATAATCAGACCGTAATTACCATGTTTGAGCAAGACCCACTTACATAACCATGGCCCCATATTGTGCTTAGCTGTGGCAATTGGTTCTTAGCAAAAAAAAAAAAGAAATGTTTAAACAAGGGCTAGTGTGACAACAAAGCCGCGCACGAGCCCGAGGACAAAGCGCTGCATTAATTAGAAAGCTTAAACGCCATACGTTCTAAACCTAAGCAGGAAAATGTGAGCAAGCTCTGCAATGTAATAGTGTAATCACTCACAGCTGATCGAGGTCGCCATCATGTTGTAATAATGTATCGCCACCGAACGGACGAGCAAATGTCTCTCAGCCGGCCGATGGGTGATTGTTCTCCGCTTGCAGTTCACTCCTCCTCCCTCTGTCAGGGGCTCCACGAGCCCATTGTTTATCGTACCAGTGTCTCTCCTCTTTCAACGTGCGCTTTCGCAAACAGCACATCTCGGTGGTATCATTATGTGCGGGACGGTTTGCGGTGTAAACACAAGGCGAGCCCAGAATCGGAGAAGGTACTCACCTCGACGCGGAACGATGTGCAGCCCTTCAGAAACTCCTTTATGTTGCTCAGGCACTCGCCGTCGTTCTTCGGTTCTTGGTAAATCTGGAAAAGACGGAAACGCCGGTTAGAGAGAAAGCGTCCCGTTCACGCCGCGCGCGTTTCTTGGTTTTTTGTCCACGCTGTTGGGTTTATCAGGCGTAAAACATGTATCTTCTCTCTCGACACGCATTCTACTGTGTGTGTGTTTGCAGCGAGCCTGACACTCCGGGGGAGAGGCTGATCCCGCAGCGGGGAAGTGGAGGAGGCTGCGTGTGTATTGGCGTCGAGGGAAATGACGTTGGCAAACAGGGCTCCCCACCGATGTTGCTGTGGCCTATGGGCGCACTGGTTTTGTTTAATCACGACCTACTCTGACAAACTGGTGGAGAAGAAAATGTTGAGATGAAGAAGAAAAAATAAGCCTCAGGGGTTGGACAGAATACTAGAAACACCTTTCAATATAAGGTAATGCAATTCATATAAAGTTGAATCTACTAAAACATTACAACCTTCATGAAAATAGGATTTACAGCAACACTAGACTGCGTTAGTTTTAGTTACTGTACTTAAAAAGCTGGCAACGGAGTATATGAGCAATGGTGGAAAGTAACTACATTTAGTAGCCTACTGTACTTAAGTAAAATGTGGAGGTACTTGTGCTTCACTTGAGTTGAGTATTTCTATTTACTGCTACTTTAAACTTCTACTCCTCTACAACTCAGATGCAAATATTGTACTTTTTACTCCCATGCATTTATCTTATAACTTTAGTTACTTTACAGGTTCAGATCAGTCTTATAATACAAAACGCAATCAACAAATTCATTATAATATAATATAGATTTATATAAAACTTTATTGATCCTCTGGAGAAATCCACAAGCTGCCCAGCAGATAGAGCAGTTGAAATGAGCTCCACCTTTATTAGCTTCAATATTAAAGTGATGTGTACATTAAAGTAAAGCATCAGTCATTATAATGACGTTCTCGAGCCTACATGTTTCACATTTTTCTCATTTCAGTTTTGCTTATATTTCTCAATACATCTACATCTTGCTACTGAGAAGTGCTTGTTATCTAATTGTCCAGAGCAGAGAGTAGTCTGTGTGCATGTAACCTTCAGTGATTAATACAGACTTGAGCAATCAAAAGAATGTTTCATTTTAAGAAAAATGAGAATACCGGTGGAATTGGGGCAATACATGTTGCCTCAGGTCCACCAGCCTCACATGGCCTTTCATCTGTCCATGAAAAGTAACTGGGCGGAATCTAAAAGGCAAGGCAGAGATGCAAGTGAGGGAGGCAAAGAGGCCTGTTACAGCTAATTGGAAAGAACCATGATACAGTATGTATAAACTCTAATCTACAAAGCACTGGTATCTACCCTGGTAGCAACTGTCATCCGACCCAGCTGTGGCCCACATAGAGGCCACATCTGGACCAGACAGTGGCACAATATGACTAGCCAATTACCGACGAGCCCAGGGATTTTAGATCATTTTTACAGAAGCTGAGGGGGGAAAGTGGGAAAGCACGGCATGAGGAAGTACTATTTGTAGTAATAACTGGCAGTAGTATGTATTTAGAGCGCAACGGATAGATCAGCCATTGTCAGCTTATCACACACGTATCATATTGGCGTTTACATTGGTTGATAAGAAACAAGAAATGTACAGTAAGGGCGAATGTGCCAAATATATGTTTGAGGTTAATTTAAGAAGTGTCCCCAATGCATAGTTTGTCCACCAGAGGGCAATGGTAAGTTACATTTTCCTCTATAACTGTTCCTCTCAGGACACTTATCAGTCAAAATTGTTTTACAGCAAATTAATGGGATCCTTATATTTAATAAAACCTGTTTATGTTACGTGTTTAGGTAGAATATTGGCCAATATATCGCTATTGGAATTTTACACTTAAAGAGAGTTACAGAAAGCTGTCTTCTCTGAGAAGAGATTTGTATTGTAACTCAATTTTCTTTCCAATTTCACACCATTTGGATTGATTTCTTACAACAATGCTTAGTTTGATAATATGAACATGTTTGATAATATGAACATGCTGTTGTGGGGCGGGACATAGGCATTTAACCCTTAACAGTTTTCCAAGTCTTGAAATCTTAGCAGTTATGTCTCAATACAATTTTGTTTTTCAAACCTACCCAAATGAGATGACAGAATTCAGATCAGCAATATATTGGCTGATTCTGCCACACTGACTTGGATTTAACCCGTCAGGACAAGGCACCTATTTCATTTGTTCTCAGGTAGGGATAGTTTTAGCCCACATCAAATCCTCTCCTGTGTGCACAATCGTGAAACATTATTTCGCTTCGTCTCAGAATTTAAACAACCCATTGTCGGTGTCACAGGGACAAAACGGAGGCAGCATGTTTGCCATTTAACAAACAAAATTGGAGGAAAACATTGCCTCCCTTAGGTAGCTGTCTAAAGTGGCCGACGCTATCCTCCGACAGACACAAACACTGCGCTGTTTCTTTAAATGGGGAGAGGGTCCATCTCCTGTCTGTGTGCCTTTGCAGTCAATGGCGGTCCACTCTTATTATTGCTGTGATCTGTGCACAGATAGCTGGTCATCACTGGCCGATCAGTGTCAACACGCAGTGACATACAAGCCACAACGCCCTGGATTTAAAAAAAGGACATTTAACACAGGGGCTCCACACGATAACGCAGATGTGTTGAGCGTTTAAAAGCTGCATTAAATGCACACGAAACGAGGCCTTCAATATTAAGACCATGGCGGTTCTAATAGCTCCTTGGACATTTGATCTGTCAATTTCCCGTCTGCTGTGATGTTAGAGCAAGATCAATACGCGGTGGAAACAGGGGCCTCACGCTGACATACGTGTTGTGTGCAGCCGTTTAACATGAGCGTTGTTTTTCGCAGACAATAACCCGGGCTGCCGTGACCTACAAAAGAAATCGCCTCACGGACCACTGGGCAGAGAGAGAGAAGCCAGACAACAAACCCGCGTCGGTTTCATGGATCTGGGCAGCACACAGACGCGCCGACGGGGCGGGCGGTTGGTTATGCAGAGGGAAGGGGAGGAAGAGGGGGGGGTGTATGTTGCCCTTACTTTCTCCGTGGACCCCGGGCTGAGCCGCTCCAGCAGCCGACACAACACCACCCCATCTTTCAGGGAGGTCTGCAGAAACGCTTCGGGATCCGAGATGGTCTTCTTCGGCGACTCCAGCACCCCGAGCGTAATCAACCACGTAACCGTCTGTTCCGCCGAATTCATGTCCAGTCACAACAGATCCCGTCCAACAAAGCGGCTGTGGGGTTGTTTTTTTTGGGGGGGGGTGTATCTGAACAGCTCACCGCCCCGGTTACGCTGTCATCTGTGTGTTAGAACAGAAACATAATCAATCCCCCCTCCTCTCCAAAAAAAAATGATGCATGAGATGTCGATGAGAGAGAGAGAGAGGCTGCGGGAAACCCTCTACCTCTGGTGGATGCGGATGACGGCTGGCTGGTGGATGTTCAGCAGGTCTGGTTTCCTCCCTTGAATGGTGTGTGTGTGTGTGTGTGTGTGTGTGTGTGTGTGTTCCCCCCCCCCCCGCTAACCTGGCAAGCTGTCAAGCGCGGTTCTCTGTGATGCGTTCAGGCAGCGGACTGCATACATGCGCATCGCAGCCGCCAGAGCCACCCCTCATACATTGGATGACATCACACATGAGGGACAAGCCAGCCCAAGCAGTTGTTGGTGCGCCTCAGCGTGACATGAATAGGCTTTTTCTCTGCGCGGCTTTGCCTATCCTGCTCGGGTTTTTTTGTTTATTAAAACCACGCCGCAGACTATCTGCTGTTATCTGCTGTGAGCTGTGGTGTTTTGGACAGGCCTCGATTCAAAAGGCAGGTATAGAACAAGGAGCTTTAATGTTGACACTGTATGTACATTGGCCTACATTTCAACAACACAACATAGGCAGGGGAGACGAATTTGAGCACTGAACCTTGATGATCTACCTTTGAAGGCCTCAGTGATGCTCTGACGTCACTGTTGAATTATTTCTGAAAAACTATTTTAGGGAAAATATACAAAATTACGTTTTCTTCAACGTTTATCTTATCTTATGCTTTTTTCTTGTGAAATACAGCATTCTTCACATTGTCAGTACTAAATCCTTCAAATAAAACAATGTTAGAAGAAAAACATTGTAACAACTGAGGCTATAACCTGTGATGTGAGGTCACAAGTACACATTACTTCATTGTATGAGCTAAAAAACTAATGGGAACTACTGCTTTTTTTGTCTTGTATGATAATAAACAGGATATCTTTGGGTTTTGAACTAATGGTTGGGGAAAAAACAAGCGATATGAATACATCAACTAGGGTTAGGTGAAACTGTAACCTGCATTATTTCTGACTTTTTATTGAAATAATAAGTCATGTAAATAATTCGCAGATTGATCAATATTGAACATAATTGTTATCTGGAGCTCTAAGACGTATCATATCATCCACATAGCCTGCGTGCCTCTAAGTGCATGTTGAGGAGGTGCTATTAAACAAAAATACATAATCCAGCCCTCTCATTGTGTTTGTACTGATGAAAAAGGAAAAAAATAGTGTTACATACAGTAATGCAGGAACTGGCAGTGTAGAATAAGAAAACTTCTCACTGGCCACAGGGTGGGGCTCTCTGCTCACTGCATACCCATCGGGATCATCTACTCATCCAGGGTTGCATGGAAGGCTGCCAGGGTCAGAGGGCAGCTCTTGGTGGCCTACACCTTCAGACAAACTGATCAATCTACAGCCGTGCATGATGCAGTCACAAAACTTTTCAGATGTGTGTTTGAGATCAAAATGAAAACTGAGCACGAAGATGGGTGTGGTCCGAGCAAGGTGCCTGAAGTAGGTGGGCAGGAAGTTGGGAAGGAGCCATTCATTAAAGCTGCTTGATAATTAACAAAAAAAATATCTTCAGTTATATAAGTTTAAAATCTATTTATTTGTGTGTAGGGCATTTAGTTTGTGGCATTTGTGGCATTTGTGTTGGGCATTTAGGCTCTGAAAATGATGTGATGGTGCACCTGTTGCTATACCCCTTTCTAATACAGCGCTATTTATTAACGTTTTTTTGATGCCATTTTTTATCTTTATAAATCACTTACAAGTGATTAAACAGAACACATTTTGGGTTGTCAGGTTGTGGCCAGTGTTTATTCCAGCAGGACTCGTTATGTCTTTTTAGCTCTTAAATTCATCAGAAAGACCCTCTTAATAGAGGGCTGCTTGTATTCTGGCACAAGGCCGCAGAACTTCTGCAGACCAAACTTTTTAACAATTAGGTTTGGATTGGACTTTATTAACAATCATAACAGTAGACAATTTGGCTTCTAAGATAGTGAGAAACGACTGAGTATTTATTTATGGTTGTCACAACCTGGCAACCCCAAAGTTGTTCTTATTAAAGGACTATAACTACATCTGTCTATCTATAAAGCACGAGTAAATGTTTTAATAACCATTAAAAAGCCATAAAATAAGAGTTTATTTAAGCCTTTAAAAAAGGGCGGCAAATTAAAAAAAAAGTGGTACCATATTGTCTACCTCTTCACCTGCAGGAATCTGGAATGTAACCAAAGCAAGCTGCAGGGACAGAAAATGTCACTCGAGCCCGATCTCCATCTTCCTCGTTTAGGCGGTGTGTGAGAGAGAGAGAGAGAGAGAGAGAGAAAGAGAGAGAGAGGCAGAAAGAGGGGGAGAGTGAGTTTGTTGTCAAGAAGGCTGACTCTTGAGGCCAGCCGTGATCTAAACAGGCAGCGTCAAGGGATGCCGTTGTGCCTTTGAGGTCCTGTCGTCATGGGTCTGTAACCATGGGTGCTACTGTGGCTGTGGAGCCTCGGGCATTTCTCATCCCTCCATTCCCAGTTCATCCCCTACATTTCTGTTCCACAGGAGAAAAAAACGCTGTCACTTCTCTCTTCTCTTTGCTTCCTCATTTTGTGAGCAAGCATAAGAAAACAGAAAGATTCACAGACAGAATGAGAGTTGCTGTAATATCATGATGACATGCTGTGAGTCAATCCAGTTCAAAAGAAGGTGCAGGCAGACGCTTTATTAGGTACACTTTTGCTATTTAATGCAATCCAATAAAACTGTTCTGCCCATAAGTCGACCTTTATGATGCCTATAGCGTTCAGTTTTTTGACACTGCCGTTCTTGGTGGCGTTGAACGGCACTGTATTATACTCAGAGGTGTTTAAAATATTCCGCTCCCCACATGTAAGTGAATGGGGAGGACAAACCTCTCTTACGATCATGTACAACAAAGAAAAGCATAAAATCTTCACATTTATGTAGCTGGAACCAGCAAATGTTTAGTCTTTTTCTGTTTAAAGAATGAGATAAATTGATTTAGAGTTCATCTAGATTGTTGCCATTGTTGATCGACTTATTGATCAATCAATAAAGCTCTCAATTGTCTGCCACAGAGCTTCCACACTGGCACTTATGCCTCTCACAGCACAGTCCTGCATTGAAAAAAAGGAAGGACTCTGTCAGTGTGCACAGATGTTATAAAGACGTTAAGAAGTGTTCCCTCTCACATCGTCATTGGTGCATGACGACAGAAATATTCAAATTGTACTGAGACATCCGACGACAATAACCTTTGTGTCTGTTCTCAGCTAGAGTTCCTAAAACCACATTTACTGTTTTCTTTAATCACAATTTCATGCTTATTAGGACGTAATGCCCCAAACTTGAGTCTTTTATCTTTCTTGTGAGTGCAGGGCTAAACACTTCCTCGAGTCAATGCACAAGAAACAGAGTAAATGAAACCTCCCTTCAAAACACGGAAACAAACATGTGTGCACCCACACGAGCACACATTGATCAACTGAACTAACAATAATGAATGAATTAATGCAGGGAAGTTAGGTTAAATTAGCGAGAAACAAAAGATAAGGAGGTCACGAACTCTCTCATTTAGTGCAGTGTGTGAGCGTACAGCACATTCCTCTGATGTCTTTTGGTGGATGGATGTCAAACACAAAAAGTGTCGAAAAAGTCTTAATTTTGTCTCCTTAACTGGTGTTTGTCTCATCAATACTCTGCAGATTAAATTAGTTTCTACATCTGCACTACCTCCACCGGGACTGTCCCTGTGTTCGGTCTTTGACAGGTGCCATAAACTAACAGGGGACACTGTGGTTTCAGGGGTGTGCAGACCAAATTCCAGATCTGATCAAATTACAAATACCCATCCCTCCCGTCGGTTTCTCTAGAGAACATGTTCCTGTTTTAGAGAATATGTCGTTGTAAGATACGCAATGTCCCCTATGTTCCCACAAATCAATGCAGTCAATGCTCTAATACATGAAGCACTTCTTATCCATCTACTCTCAGCCTCCTCTCCCCCCGGAGCCATCTAAGTCTGGGAGACAGCTCATATTTTATCTTGACAAGGCAAAATCCATGCAACCCAGAGCCACTTCACAGGCCAAAATGTATTACACAGAATAATGGATGGACTAGACAAGCGTACAAGGCCAAGATACAGGAAGGGGATATGATAGGATTTCATCATTGGCCCACACTATGCTCTCAGTCAATGAACTGTTCTACAGTTTACAGTTTGAGTATTTATGGCCTTACATATAGAATCGCACACCTTCATCCCTTTACTTAAGAAGAGAGGGATGCAATACAAACAGTGAGACCTACAAAACAGTGACCCAAGAACATGCTGTTAGCACAGGCGTGACCTTAGTAAGTAATATGAATACATTTTTTTGGGAAACGAAACAATCTCAACCCAAGATTCACTGACAGCATATCATGCAGTCCTCCTGAGCAGGTTGGGTTTACTCAGTTGCCTTGGGCTGTTTGTTGATCTCTCGGCATGACGACTTGAAAGTTCATCCATGACCTTGGAAACAACAGTTGAATAAACAAAATCAACCCAAGGTCCACTTACTCTGTTTGTTCTGGAAAACAAAATCTAAATGGGGATTTTGAAAAACTGTTCCTGGACCTTATTGGGAATTGTACGACAAAACTCATGAAATATCCACCATCAGGTTGGGTTAGTGTGAAATAACAGCTGGGCTGGACTTCTACTTGTAAACAAAAGTTCATTCATGTAACAAGGCATACAAGGTGTTTGACTGACCTCAAGTCTACCATTAAAGGTGTAAGATCCCACATTTGGATCATTTCGATTGCCTCTCAACGGCTCTCAACATGTCGGCATTATAAAAAAAAAACTGCTGACAGAGCTAAATGTGTTTACCTGAAAGGGAACCAAAGGGTCGGTGCTAATCTTACGCAACAACGCTGTCTGTCAGCCTTATTAGCTGTAATGCCGTGTGAGAGCAGTGCAGAGCGGCGGGCGTTAGCCAGCCAGTGGGGCACGCTCACGTTCAACGGCTATGTCAACAAAGCGAGGAAAAGCTCAAATAACAACAGAGAGGGAGAGCGACTTCATTCTGTAGCCAAGCAGCCATTACTCCACTAGATCTTTAAAGTTGTTTGCTGCTATGATAATGTTCAGAATATTAAGTACAGCTCATTTAACATAAAAAAACACTGTATGTTAACTTTTTTAAGTTTATATGACATAAACTTGACAAAGTAATCAGATATAAAGTATATCTGATATAGTAGGTTTAACGATATGGATACAATACCATAAAGTATGGTTACTTTCTATTATATGCCTACTTAAAATAATGTAAAAAAAAAAAATCTAAAATGAATTTGGAAACATTGGTTACATAAAAATAATTGGTTTCAATGTGTAAATGTGATATTTAATTGCCTGTATGTGGCTGACATTCAGGCTAATTAATCACATGGTACGTTTAACACTATCCCCACAAAAAATGTTTAAAATGATTTTGCAATGCTTTGCTGCTTTCCACATATAGTTTCAGCAAAAAGTGCCAAACACACTCACGACAAACAAAGTTAGTGACTATGCTAAGTGGTTAACATAGTGGAGCAATTAAGCTAGCAGCTAAAAAGCTGTATTATTTAGGAGTTGATAAAGACCAAACCAAAGCTAAGAACAGAGTGAACACTGAAAGTCTTAATGTTGCTCAGTGTCTCCTAGATGTGCAGGCAACTCTTTGCTAACACCAGCGTTAGCCATATCAACTTGACAAATGTAGTGTTTACAGTTTGTTGCTACACCCCCAAGTGGCAAAAAAAAAATACTCTAATGCAGATTTAAGGCCCCATAATTCATAGCGTCACCCCTGTAAAAACATCCTGACGTTAAATCATCGAGTGTCCCGTGACCGTCACCGGTGTGTATTTAGCAGCTCTCACATACTACATCCAAGCTCCGAGCTGCGAGTCGTGATGTCCCCTGCGTGAGCTGCCTGTGTGTGTCATCTCTGACGTTACCGACCCGCCCACATCGCGCTCCGTCTCCGCCGATGACACACACACACACACACACGCGCGCGGACTCTCTCCGGCAGTGAGGAGCCGGTGTGCGAGCGTCACGGAGGGGGCACCGCGTCCGCAGCTCTTTTAAACGCGAGTCCTCACTGGCATGGACACCGGAGGAGAGCGCTGAACATCCAGGAACCATGCCTACTGTCCTCGCTGAAAAAGGGAAACTTTCCGATGTCTGTTTTCTACTCAGATGCGCGTATTCTCAGGTGAGAATGGAGCGCGGAGTGTGGATTATAGCCTACATATTAAACTGCTCGAGGGAGTCCTTGAATATTGTTTTTGCACAGGATTGTTTAAAGCCACCAAATTGTACATAGAGTACTTGCAGGTTGTTCGTAAAGAATACCGACTATTGAAAATACAATAAGAGGATAATTCCTGCAGAGTTGGTGCATTTTGTGCTCTTATCTTCATAAAAAAATAATTTTACAGATTAAAAGTGTTTCAGATCTCACTTAAGGGCACTCGACACAGATGGATGTCATGAATAGAAACTGTAAATAGCTGTAAATAACTTCAGTAATTGCTGATACTTTGAGAATGTAACAGGTGCTACTGTAGTTGGCTTGCATGATGCTTGTTATGGTGGCTTGTGGTTTGTTTGGCCCTGGGGGAGTTCACTCATCAGGGTATTGCACCAGAGCTGTAGCCTGTGGTGCTAGTGGGTATATGGACACGTGAAACATATTGCACTTGATAATATCCAAACTAATGGACGTGTAAACTGAGGAAGCAGGCCTGGCTTTCGCTTGTGCAACGCCACAGGGAAAATACTGTCTGTCTGTGTTTATGTTTTTAATTTAGTGCTCACGGCCCCATAACTGCCTTGTGGCTGTAGAAAATCGGACAGTTTTCCCACACACTGTTTATCATCCACAGGCTTAAGAGTCCAGCCACTGAGACGTTGACCTTAGTGAGTCATGCATGCAAGAAAAGACAGTTTCGTACACTCACACATGCATGCTGCACTACACACACGTTTGTTTCTGCTGTGCATACTTATGCTGCACAGATGGCAGAGAGTAAGGCATGAGAGAAAGAAGCAAATCACCCAAATGAAATGGGATATAATGTGTTAAGGATGTGCTCAAGATAATAAATCTCTATAACCAAGAAAAAAGACAGTGTAAGTGTTCAGCAGATGAGGTCCACATGAACTCAGAACGATGAAAAAGTCCAAAAACCAAACAAATACAATGAGTGTGATTATGAATGAGGAACTAGAGGAAACAATATGTTTTGGTACAAATTAAAGATCTGTTTGCACACAAAACTCACAGTCAGAATAAAAATCGCAAATAAAATGTCAAGCACCTACACAGTTGCACACTGTAATGTAGAGTATTTGTCCTTTATCTTAAAGCTTGAGCAGCATGGTTCCCTGCTGTCGTGCCAACAAGGTGAATTCTGAATTCTGAGCTGAATTGTGCAAAGGGGAGAAACGTGGGGGAGGGAGAGCGGGGTTGCCTAACGCAGAGGGAAACAGAAAGTTGCTTGCGACAGAATCAGCATCCGTCTGATCATCTGCAGCTGTGATTTCTAAGATATGAGTCATCAACAGCCTCCTCTCAACTCTCACAATTACTCTGAGTGTGTGTGTGTGTGTGTGTGTGTGTGTGTGTGTGTGTGTGTGTGTG